AAAAAAACTAAGGTAAATTATATTTCTCCTTGATCTCTCTCATTCTTTGCTCATAGATCATTCGTCCAAACTCCGACAACGTCCCGGGGTCGGTTTGCATGACTTTCATCTCAGCCTCCTGCTCCTTTAGCTTCAACTCCTTCTCCTTTAGCTTCAACCTCTCTTGTTCTTGGAGATTGAACGCCCGAATTTGTTCAATCATTGCCCGGCCGATTTCGTCGCGGGGAGAAGTGGAAACAGATGCGGACCCTCCCGAACCCGAGGCAATGGATTTTGCCTTCTTTCTTCCGATCGGCCGTGGAATGGGGTCCTCGTCATCGGAATCCGCAACGTTGAAGGGAGGGATTTGATCGCTAGAACCGATAGTCTCGTCGACCTCAACCTCGGCGTCGACGGTGGATCTTTTCCGGAACAATCCGCCGTCGGGATTGTTGAGTTGTTGCCACTTCGGGGAACGACTCAAAATCCTCCAAAGATCGATGGGCACCTTGCCTTGGTTCCCGTCGTCTTGATACCGGGTCGTGGCAAGCCGGAGAACATCGGCGTCGTTCGTGCCGCTCCTCCGGGACCGGGAGCATCCCTCGTAAACTCTCATAAACTTTCGGAGTTTTTTGTTGATGTGGCTCCATTTGGAAGTGAGTTGGTCCCGGGTTCGGTAGGAGCCGTCCTTCTTCATTGCCGTGAAGAACTTCTCCTCGATACGATCTCACATCGCATCCTTCGTTTGCTCCGTACCTTTACAAATGTATTACACAATTTTTTTAGACACCATTAAATATAATATATAAAAATAAAAACATAAATATATTACAAAAAATAAATTTTTAACCAATGACAGGATGCTCGGAGACGTCAACCCAAGCCGACGCCAATATGCACTCCTCCTCCGGCGTCCACTTTTGGATTGACCGTGCCGCCTCGGTCAACGTGCTTTAGGCTTTGTGGCTTTTCCGGCGTGTACTTTTTTTCGATCCGGACGGTTCCGGTTGAGTCTCCGGAACCGAATCTCGGTCGACGTACCCCGACTGTTGCGTCTCGTACATCGGCGGTCGATCGCCCAACTCTTGGTAATACCACATCGCGGCGTCGACGGGCGGGAGATCGTCGGGAAAGAAGCCGGAGCCGGAAGGATTCATGTTGAAAATTGGGAGGGGGGTTTGAATTTTGAAATTTAAAAATAAGAAAGAAGAAGAGATTGAAGAGAATGTGTGAGAGATTGGTTGGGGGGTTGAATTTATAGGAATTTTTTTTTTTTTGAAATGTGGGCTGCAACGGCTTTTTTAGCCGTTAGGAGGGAGCCGCGCAAGAGTCACGCCGCGTCAAACAATTGACGCAGGGCTCCTCACGCCCGTTTAACACCGGCGGGGGGCGGTGTTTCACGCCCCTGGGGCGTTTAACGCCCCGTAACGCCGGTGGGCGTGAAGAGTATTACCAGTGCTCTTAGTAACAACAAATCTAATAAAGTTTCACAAAAGTTAGGTCTAGAAATTAAATGGAGCTTTCACCTATGAGCTTTGAAATGTAATTGCACATGCATGGAAACTTGTCAATAGCTAATGATCAGAAATAAATGAAAAGATATAGATGATGGCAACACATGAATATAAAATGTTACAATTCATATGCCATTATTCTCACTTACAACATATGAATAATTTCAGTGGAAAACAAACACGCAATAAGAGTACAAATTGAAAAGAATACCATCTTATATTTACATCTCCCTAATTTATCGAGTAAAAGACAACAAAACGTATCGTCCTCAGTTGAGAACAAACCCAGTAGAATCCCACAAAAACTAGGGTCTGGAGAGTGAATGTACGCGGATCTTACCCCTATTCGGGAGTAGACAGAGGATACTCACAGAGAGCTAACTGCAAATGACGATTGGAATCGCCTACCGAATCGCGCCTAAAGAAAGCCCTTCGCCACCACACTTGGAATGCTTTATGGATATTGGGGCAATCGTCCCCTTTGTCAAGAAACCGTTGGAACCAACGAAGCATGATTTCTTGTTGTTGAGGCAACGGTAGAGTGAGGACCGTTTGGCTCAATCCGTCCTCGACTACATTCTTATCCATCAATCTGCCCGCTCTACTCATCCACCCGAAATCCTCATAGAGCGCTTCCAACCACGTCGCTAACAACGCGTACCGTGTGCCCTTGGGCACCAGAACATTCCCTCTACCGATTGCCACACATAGTTGCGACGTGATCCTGCTGATGTCATGTCTGTACATGGTTGGGATCTTTGGATGAAGAGCGGAAAGCTCCTTTTGGTCTGCCCATAAATGAACAAATTCGTCCCCTATCTTTCGGTCGATTAGGATACCCACCACCCAATGGACATTGTCTGCCTCTCTAGCGACCGCGCCCATTATGGCTCCCCGGTCCTTGTTACTCTCATCCACACCCAATGCCTCATAAGCACAGACCAAGAGAGAATCAAGGCATTCGCGACAGATGTGATATAGAATCTCAGGAGAAATGTCTGTGGAATCGTCGCTGAGGAGACGAGACATTGCTGTTTTCATCTCCCTGCGGGCCTTTTCGTCTTTCGCCTGTAGAACGCCGCTGAACAGCTTCAGAAATATTTCATCAGGTCTCGGAGAGGTCGAAGGTTCAGACACTATTCTCTGCAGCACATCAGTTGCTTCCGAATCAGAGAGGTGAAGTTCACTGAAGAGAGTGGCCACTTTCTCCTCTTCTTCTGGAGACCATGGAGCTGCCTCCAGGTACTCCAAACAAGCCATTATTCCATCATCGAACGCTATAGCTGAAGACACCTGCAATCATTATCTCTTTCGCTTGAATGAAGCTCAAGAACATGAATGGCTCTACTCTATCTCAATCAAACTAAACTAAGTTTCCCAGTAACCAAACTTCATGAAAACCATCCCTTCATAATACCCTAAACCAAAGAATTAGCAGGGGAGAAATGCATTCAACATTGAGTAATTAATTAATTAAACAAGGAGAAAGATGATACCTTTAGCAGACCCAAGACCTTAGGGACCCCTTCACCAATCAATTTCTTCTTCAGATCATCACAATACATAAGAACCACAGCCTCCACATAGACTTCTGCATCGTCGCAATCCAGGATCTCCACCGAGTGGGACCCATCGCTGCGAAGATTCTCGGCGAAGAATCTGCTCCGGGAGACCAGCACCCGCCGATGAACGCCCATAGAAACCCTGGGCCCTCCGTCACGCGCCGCAATCGTCAGATTGACGTCGGCTGGGCCGTAGCCGCAGTTTGCGGCGATTGGGGTTTGGAAAGAGGCGTGTGCCAAAACCCGGGAGATTCGGTCGTGGGCTCGGTGGAGGGAGTCCGGGGAGTGTCTGAAGCTGCGAGAATGCTCCTTGGAGATCATCTCGAAGAGGGTCGGGCTCTGATTGGACGGCGGCGGAGAGAGAGCGGCGGCGGCGGCGAGTTTGGAGGGAGGGGGCGGAGATGAGAGGAAAGGATCGGAAATGAAGCCTTGCCTGATCATAGTGGAGACTAATGAATGGTTGTTCTTCAATTTGTTATCAGACGCCATTGTTATTGGGACTTAAAGAAGAAGAAGCAGCAGAACCAGTTTCTCTCCTACTGAACCGTCAATGGGTGGCCAGGCCTAATTAATTCCCCCCCAGGGAAATAAATCAAATAATGTAAGGGCCATTTACTTGAACTTCGCCCTACACACCGCCAATTTGTTTTTTTTTGTTTTGTTTTCATTTTTGCAAGAGGCAAAAATGATTGTTTAGTTTTATTGACTTTATTATAAGGTAATATAATGATTTCGTCTTCTATGGGTTCGAACTTGGGTAAATTTTTTCATTAATATTAGGGAGTGCTTCTTACCACTCAAGCCAGAGGAAAAGTTCTAGGCACGGTGATTTTGTTTATTACACCGTATTTTTTTTCTTTTTCCCGTGAGAGAGATGGCATTTTTTTAGAAGAATTGTTCTTTTTTTCAATGTTCTGGTATTTATTTGTGTTACTCGCATCCTCTATCCTCACCTATCCTTTTTAATTACTCTCCTCTTTAAATATTTATGACTAGACTATGTCTCTCATAGAGAATACTCAACTGTAAAATTGTATAATTGAAAACTTGAAATACGTTAAGGCTCTGTTTGGTACACGGAATTCAACTTATGGAATTATAATTGAGTACAACAATTCCAATTCTATTGTTTGGTAGCACAAAAATATGTGGATTTGGAATAAGAGAATTCAATTTCATTTAAATCAAATCCATAAAATTTCAACTTTCAATTCAATTTCAATTCCGTATACCACACGGACACTAAGAATGAAAATACATTGAGGCATTGAGCCATAATTTCAACGGACGGATTAACAAGAATGATACTAGGAGAATGGGGTAGGTTAATTTTAACTTGAAAGTAGTTGAAATGCAGTACATGAATACAAACAACATGGTACACAATTACACGTTGTAAGAACATCAAAGTGGGAAAGGGGAAACACCATTAACACCAATTAAGAATAGTGTGATTTCCTTTACAAATGCCAAAGCAAAATAAAAATTGACAAAAGTAAAACTGCAGATTTGCTCTTGACTTTCTTTCTCATCGATCGTCATCCCTAACCTTGTTTGCATTGATCAGGAATGAGCCGGTCATCTGTATCGGGCTTCCCTCTGCCTTTTTAGAAGATATTTGCTGCTAAGTCCTCCATTCCAGGGTCAGTTTTTTCGTCTTTCTCGTCTGCACTTGCTCCAAAATGAGAAGCATCGAGCTTTGGAGGACTCTGCAGAAATAAGACACTTGTCAAACTGTGTTTGCCTTTTTTCCGGGTTATTTAAGAAACCAAGAAAGGAATCACTCGTGATTTTATATGATGGTTTATATGCTTATATTTCCCCCGGAGTGATTTATCAATATGATCATAGTGGACCTTAATATAGCATTAAAAGTCATATTAGAATGCTTTCCATTTCATTCGTTCGTTGCCATTGGAGCTAAAAAGAGACATTTTGTTGATCATGTTTTAGCTTCAAGTAAGTAATGGAACACGAATACAGAACCCCGTTGCTAATTGAAGGAATGAAGAGTTTTACCATGCATCGGACTAAAGCCCAATTTACTCCTTTGAAGAACGGATGTCGCTTGATCTCGTTTGCTCCTTCGCGTGATCCCAACCTGTTTTTAGGATCTCTGTGCAGCAATCTGTAAATTAGCTGCTTGGCTGGCAGACTAACCTGCACAAGCATCAACTCACATGTTCGAATGCACTTTCACTATAAATTCGAAACCCAATAAACTATTCATTTGTTATTAGTGGTTGAGAATTGGACGGTTTCTTTACTTGTATACTTCCTGGAAATTTGAGGTCCTTGTGCAGAATGTTGGCAAATGTCTTTTGTCTGGTCTTGCCTCTGAATGGTGTATATCCATAAAGCATTTCATATAGAAGAATGCCTAGCAACAGAACCGGGCAGATAAGTTCAATTCATTTTAAGTATAGTAGCATCCAGTTCGGTATAGCACCGAAGAGTTCAATTCATTTTAGATAAGCTCTACCAAATGACCCCTAAGTAGTTATGATCATAGTTATTTATAAGAGTAGTGTTTAAAGGATTACCAAGAGCCCACCAGTCCACTGCACTGGTATGGCCTGCTCCAGTTATGATTTCCTGAATGTTTCAAAATAATGTGTGAATAATTCAATTATTTCTTTGCAAGATTTAATATTTCATAAATAATAACCACAAGGACTCTATAACACTAATAAGCCATCTCTAGGGACATTTAAGATGTCTAAATTTTAAGACACTTTTATCATAATATTACGTACTATAATAGTAACGCATAACTGGCCCATAATACCAAGAATGAGAAGAAAATCAAGTTCCACTAACCGGAGCTATATATTCTTCAGTTCCAACAAAAGAATTTGAAGCACGCATTGGCTCAGCCATGAATATTGGATCCCGTTGTCCTTTTTTATGCTTTTTCTTCTCATTGGCTTCACGAACTAGAAGCTGATCAAACAACGAGAAAAAAAGGAATAAGTTGCCAAATGCTTTAAATTTTGCAATTGCTGTGAAGGTGGTGGCACAGGGGACTAGGGCAGTATGAAATATGAGTACCTGTGGCTTGCAGGATGTTAAGCATGACAAATCAAAATCAGTCAACGCTATGTGGCCGCTGCTTTGGATTAAAATGTTTTCAGGCTTTAAGTCTCTATAAATTATACCTGTTTTGGAAGAGATAAATATACATCTTTAAAAATATTTTGAACATATATATACTCCGTATAATGACTATTACAGATAAACTGTTGAAATGAAACACTTTTTACCTTGACAGTGAAGATATTCTAGCGCTACTACAACTTCTGCAGCATAGAATCTGCAGGAAGAAGGGTGATGTCAGTTGATATTTAAAATCTGTAAAATGTTATTCATCACATTATGTTACTCGATATTTTCTACCTTACGGCATCCTCCTCCAACACTTTTGTTGGTTGTCTATCCAAGAGGAGGAATAGCTCGCCACCAGAACAGTAATCAGTTATTAGACAAACATGAGTTTTGGTCTGCAAAGCACACAGCAAATTCAAAAGTCTGAAATAAATAGATGGAAGATAAAGATGAAAGACAACATGAAAAGGGTTCATTCGTTCAATAGTGATAGTTAAAAGGTGCTGAATATTCACAAAAGTTATTTGATAAATATAATTATACATCATTTGATCAAATATCTAAACTTGATTTCCTGGTAATCTGGCATTTGAGCTTTTTTATTTTTCCCCCCGAATTTTCTTCCCATCTGAATTTCTCATCAATTTTCATTCCCTAGCATTTTCTGAGTTCCGAACTCACTGAAAATTAAACATGATTATGTTAAAATCACTGGGTTTCTAATTCAGCTGACCTGAAATGAAGCATATAGTGCAGGAAGAAATGGATGGTCTAACATGTCCAGGATTTCTCTTTCCGCACAAGCCCTGTGAACCTGCAGCAATCGAAAGGAATGATCCAACACTCATAACAACAACAACAACAACAATAATTAAAAGTATGAAAAATTATCTTACCTTGTTTCGATTGAGCATCACATTCTTATCCATAGCTTTCATAGCAAAATATTGACCAGTTTCACACAATTCCACTAAGTGCACACTGCCAGTATCACCAGATCCTAATGGTTTTACTGGTTTGAAATGCTTCAGGCCTAGTTTTTCTCCACTGTCAAGAATCTGTCATTTATACATGCAGAGAAGCACATATTCGAAGGAAGTCAACTTGAGACCATTAATAGAAATGTACTAAAGGATTTATAATTTTTATTACTCCATATGTCACAAATACTTGTACAAATTTTAATGCGCGAAATTTTTAAATATGCATTTTTGTAAGGCTCCAATTTGTGTAGTATGTAATATACGGGTTATGTGACTTACGATTGCAAGAGAAATCTTTGCAGAGAGTGTTTGACATTGTATGCATACTAGCTTTTACCCCATGTTGCACATACACTAGTACACTTGAGTGTAAACACACACACACACATTTGATTTCTATAAAATGGCTCTTTAAACTGTTTGTGCTTGTTTTAATAGTAAAGTAGCAGTTAGTCAATGCAATTTTCGACACTCATCATGGTTATCTGGAAACAACTGCTCTATGTTTTGAACATACAGGGGCAGACTGCGTACATCCCACACCCATTACCCCGTAACGGGCGGGAGCCTTAGAGGCATTGGGGTAATGTTGTTGTTGTTGTTGTTGAGTGTGTGTGTGTGTGTAATGCATGACACCCAATATGCCAAGATACCTTTTGAATAGCTTTCCAAGATGAGGTTCCCTTCCTGTGAGGCTTTGCGTGAACTGCCTTTGAATGATTCATCCACAAATCCTCAGGTTTCTGCAAGATGAGTGAAAACATAGTTTGTAAGCTTCATGTTCTTATATGAACAATTATTAAAAAAACCGGAGTATCAGTTTTCGCTGGACATTACCAGATTGGCATCTGGAAGTTCTCTGACTGCTTCATCGATGTTTTCAGCTGCTGTTTTCACCTAGCACATTCAAACAAAATTTTATAAAAAAATCAGCAACAAGAATCACCTTGCCTGTTTGGTGAACATTAATTTTGAAGAAACAGATGATGTTTCTGAGAAAAAAAAGCTGGAGTTGATGAATGTCTGGATATGTTTTCTTAACAAAATATTACTTAATCATGTTTATTCATGTGAAGTTAGAGTTGGGAGCAGAACCAACCAGGTGAACACCCTCATTGGCCTTGTCTTCAGGAATGCAGTTGCGATGCGGCTCTACATGTTGGCTTCCGTCCAATTGCACTCCAATGAAGTATTGCACCTCTCCCCTTTGGTCGCGCATTGGCTGTAGATGGAACAAGTTCCAGAACTTCTTCCCTAAAATTCACAACATAAACCCATTAACAATTACACCTCAATAAGAATTCAAATAAGAAGATCGAATCGACAAACCGAGGGGAAGGCCAGCAAACATACCAGTCTTCGTGTAGTTGATGAGCTGAACGGTGACATCTGTCTGTGTATCAATTGCTTCTCTGATTTTCCTTACAGTAGCCGGGTCGGTTTCGGGTCCTTGAAGAAACCTGCAATTTCTTCCCAAAATTTCTTCACGACTGTACTCAGTGAGCTCCAGGAAACTGTCCGATGCAAATATCTGAAAACAAAATTTTATTGTTTAATTGAAAAAAATCATCAAATTTAGTATCGAATTAGGTCATTAAGCTGCTGGTACTTACAATGGGATTATCAGGCAGCCTTGGATCGGTGATGACGAAGTTCTTCTCGATACGCTCGAGCGTGGTGGCCAAGTCGATACCCTTTCTCATCTCCTTCCTCCTCACTTTGTCGTCGACGCTGTCCGGCCGAGCATCGCCGTCATCGTCGCTCGCGAAACCCTCATCTTCATCCTCGTCCATGGTGAAATTCCCCTCGAATACATCATCATCGTCACTGCTCTGACGAGATTTCCTTAACACTCTGCACTCCACAGCAAGTGATAATTGAGATTAAGAGTTAGATTGTTAATGGCGAAGTTCGATTAGTCATAGTGACGGAGTAATTTTTGATACCTCATGAAGGAGGGACCGCCGGATTTTTTAGGCTTCTTCTCGGGAACTTCACTGATCTTGTCCATCTTCAGGGAGGATCGGGTGCCGGCATGGGAGTGGCGTCTGGCCGGCGGAGCGTTGTAATTCGAGCTCCCATTGTACTGAATCGCGGCGGAACGTTCCTTTTCGCTGCCGCCGGCGGACTTCCGGATGAAAGGACGGCGGTTAGTGGACTCGCTGAGCGCCCTAGCGCGGGACGGTTTCTTCACCGCCTCCACTAGATCGACCACTGTGCTCGTCGCCGCTTCCTTCTGACGAGCTGTGTAATTCAACCAAATTAACTGTGTTTCCTTCTTTTTTTAAATGTTTTCATTAATATTCGTAATATTTGATTTTTAATTTAATTTATAAGCATGTAGTAGAAATTAGTGTACAATATTAAAATAAAATTTATATATTTAAAAATTACATTGAAAATCTATGAAAGTAGGGATGTGACATTACTAAATCTTTCTAATTAACAAAAATAGAATAATAAAATAACTAAAATTTGACCGAATGAATAATAAACGAAAAGATAGTTTCGTGACGGAAGAATAAAATAAGTCTTTACAAAATTTTCTCTCTTCCATATTAACTGTTTACTATGACTTTCTTGATATAGTTGAAAAATTAGGCTTTGTCTGAAAAAGCGTTTTCAATTAGCATTGTCGTTTTGGATAAAATATTAAAAGTGTAGATTAATTCAGAAAACGCTAACGCTAAAGATTAATCTCTAACGCTGATGCCAAACGGGGCCTTAATAAACATACTTTATGTTTGCATTCACTCATTTTTAACGTATCAAGAAGTGTTAATACATACTAGCTCCCTCCGTCAACAAATAAACTTCCCGTTGCGCGTTACGATGTTTGACTAAAGTTATTTTCAAATCAGTTTATACGAAAAATAATGTAAAATTTAAATATAAAAATTGCATATTAAAAAACTATATCAAAAGATCTACAAAACTATAGGTGACATGACTATATTATTTTACCAAATGGGTGACAAAAATAGGCTAATAAAGTAATAACGTTTGACCCTGTAAATAGTGAACGAAAAGTTTATTTGTAGACCGGGGGAGGGAGTAGTTAATATTGAATGAGGAAGTAGTCTCTAATAGAAGTAGATCTCCTTGCACAAAATTCTCCAAATCCTACTTTTAAGTTTTATAGAATTCTAGTGTTGTTTTAATATTAATGTTCATATTAAAAATTGTTTAATATACTAACCTTAATCCATAAAAAATTATTCAAAGCATTAATCATAATCAAAAACAATATTTTGAAACAACACATGCATGCGAGAAAAAAGATTGTGAACAATGAAGTACCCTTTTTTTACTCCCTCCGTTCTAAAACTTTCTTCCCGTTGCACAAAACGAAGAAAAATCTCAAGTTTTTTCAATCTACTTTATTTAAATATTGGTAAAGAAATAAAAAATAAAATATACATATTTAAAAACTACATCATAAGTTCAACAAAACAAGTGGTGACAAAAATATTTTATTTTATCATATAGGCCATGAAAAAACACAAATAAATATAAATTCTCGTGAAATTGGAATAGTACTCTAGGAAAAAAGTTTTAGGACGGAGAGTAATAAATTTATTAAAACTTATAGGTGTGAATTAAAAGAGGGGAACTCATTACCGTCGTAACGGATCAATGACTCGGGAAGCCCATTTGGACGGACCACTTTTTCCTTTAATCCTTCCGTGTGCTTGCTAACCTCCACTTGCATCCTGCCAAACCTCATTTCTTCATTATTAAAAAAAAAAACTTGCAAAGTACGGTGTAAATTCCAACTCTATGAGATTTTTAAAATGTTTTGTTTAAATTTACTAATTTATAACTTAAATGAGAAGAATCATAATGAAACTACTATAATTTCTTTTAGCTGAAATTGAAAAATATAAGCAACATTTAATTTTAAATAAAAATCTAATCAAGAGCTATATGCATAATGACCCAACAAAACTCCATAACAACAATGAGTCAATGACCCATCAAAAGGGGCAAAACACATTGATTTGAAGTTAATAGACAAGTTGCACATTCACAAACCTCCAACCATTAGTTTTGTTCCACATGCATTATCAATGTCATAATACAACATCAAATTACTAGTGGATATAGCTTAATTGATTGAATACGTAATGTCAGGGGGATAAATTTAAATTCAATTTCTGACGTACTCAAATTTATACCAATTAATTTGTAATTAAAACTTAATTCACATCATATTATTGTCCAAAAAAAGTATTTAAAAAAAATAATTACCCAATAAATTTAAGCACTTTGCCAGTTTCATCCTTGATGGGCGCAATGGTAAGCAGATTCCAAAAGGGAGTGCCATCTTTCTTGTAATTCAGTAATCTCCCGCAATAACTTGAACCCGATTCCAATGTTTCTCGGATCTTCGCCACATCCCCCGGATCCGTACCCGAACCCTGCATGAACCGACTTGACCCGCCAAAAAATTCGTCATTTTTGAAAATAAATAAAGTCCGGTAAAATAAATTACCGTTATGACAGTTAAAAAAGAAATTTTACCAGTTCCGGCCGATGACTTCCTTGGAGGTGTAGCCGGTCATCTTGAAGAACCCGGCGCTGGCGTACATAATCGGGTAATCGGGTTTGGTCGCGTCCGACACAACAAATGTTTGTTGGAATGCCGACAAGGCGTCCCTCAGATCCTCCGAGATTCTCGGGATTCCCTTCTCTTTCCCGGCGGTCCCTTCGTAGTACGAATCGCCGGAGCTCCGGGCAGAGGCCCCGGAGACACTTTTCGGCGGCTCGTCGCCCGAAGTTCTGACTTTGACGCCTTGGGGCTTCCCGGTCTCGTCGTCGGTCTTGAGGACGAGCCCCCACTCCGCCGCCCTCTGCGCGGCGGCGCCGACTTCCTCCCCCGCCGGAGCCGGCTCCTTGATGGCCATCCAGGAGGCGATTTCATCAGCCCTTCCGGACGAGCTGGAGAAGAGCTGGCCGAGCTTCGGCAGGACTGGCGGCGATTCGCCGACGGTGACCGCCGCCGGCGGCGGCGGCGGCGGAGGGGAGTCGTCCCAGGCGTTCCACGACGGCTGGAAAACGGGGTTATTGGTGCGAGTGGAGTAAGTGGATGGGTTGAAGACTTCGAGGGAGCCGCGGGAATCTCGGGTGAAAAGGAGCCCTCTTTTTGGGTTGCCGGGGGAGTCCATTGCTGCGGGGGTATCCAACGGAGTTTATCATAAACCCTCCCACACATAATAATAACACCCAATAAATATCCAACCAATATTATGCTAAAAGGAAAACGACATATATGTTCCACAACAACAACAAAAAAGATCACATTATCACATTTTTTTTATAGAATTAAAACACCATATAAGTGTAAAGATTTTTCATGCGTTATTCTTGATGTGATGAAATAAAGTGAATAGTATAAATAAAAGTAGGTGTATGATCAGGGCTGACCTCGGAAAATGAAAAAATGAAATTGACTCGGCCCGAAATTTATATTTTGAACCCTATTTTATTATTTTATACCCGAGTAATACTTATGCATCAAAATTAATGATGAATATAAAAATATAGAGCCCTAAAATTTTAAGAATCCTGTGCGTTGGCCATTTTTCATACCCTCCGGGCCACCCATGAGTATGATGATATATTCATTAAAAGTTTTTGCCAAAAGAGAAAACGAGAAAGAAATTTTTGAACGGTCTAAAAAGGAAAATGAAAAAGAAATTAATGGAGAGACGGAATATCTTACTTTTAACTATTACTTAAAAGTATTTTTTGAAAATGAACACAAAAATATTCATTCCTTAAATCTATTAATTAAAAGCCGAAACGAGAAACAATTCAAATTTTGTAACAAGAAAAATATTTAATCCGTGTGAACAAACAAATTTTGTCGCGGGAGACAAAGTTTTACTTTGAGATGCATGTTTTAGTTAGTTAAAAATACTGTAGAAAATTAGAAGTTAATTGATTGGAGAAGAATTTAAGTTTGGTTTGTGACGAAAATTGAAAAAGAAGGAGAGGAGAATGGTTTAGCAGCAGGACGACGTGGAAGGACTGTGGGACCTATCAAGTCAATAGGATGATGCACTTAGGCGAGGGCGAAAGCGACAATCTCCCTCCAATCAAACACTTATGGTCTAGAATCATTACTGCCCACCATATATATGGTACCCGTAAAACTTCACTAGCCTCACATTTCAAAGGCTATTTATGGAAATTCACATTGAAATTTAGAGTATAAGTTTTTGGTTTAAAAAAACTTTCAATAAAGGTCCTCATGTAAGCTATGTAAGTTGTGCTAGAACCCGGCCGGATCAGACTAGACCGAAAACTGAATTCATTAAAATTATGGAAAAAAGGCTTGATCTAGATGCATTCAGTAAATTTTGGATCTAATCGGACCGAATTACATGCGTAGGATCCATCCAAATTAGAACTAATCAAAATCTCTTTTAATTTGTAAATAGTTTTGATCAATCAATTGGGAAGTATAGTTTAGGCTCTATAATTTATACAAGTATCGAAGTAAAGAGAAATAATTTAGAATGACAAAAGAGAAATAAATATAGAAAATTAACTAGTTCTATTTAAGAGTATAGTTAAAAAGATTAATGAAATAAAAATTTTAGTAATAATGAAAAGTCACAAGAACCTCGTTAATTAAAATAATTACGATATATTACAAAATAGAGCATTGGATGTTGATGTGTAATGTCAAACAAAAAAATAGTATTGAGATCTTTTAGGTCCAATTGGTGTATTAGATCTACTTGATCAAGACCAAAATTATTTTAGTTTTATATCGGGCAAAACCGAAATACAACTAATTCAAGTGTCATTTTTTTTGGATTGAAGGATTCTGAATCTACTCGATTGGGGGTTTGTTGACTTTTTCAGCAAGGACCTAAATTTTAACCACCTTATTTTTGGGCATTCATAATGAATGTTAATAAAACAATACTCGAATCCTTTTTAATTTAAGTCATTTGAATACGGAGTATTGGTTTACAATTTAATAATAAAATTCATATGTTTTAAAAAATTATCGTAATATTGAATAATAAAAGATAACATGATTATGGGTATTATTGATTCGAATTAATAATAAAAAATTATCGTAATATATTGACACTTGTTTATTCTCTCTATAGTAAATGAATAGATTAAGTAAATTATCTTCATCTGTAAAATCTAGACTAATTATCTAGGGTTTCGTTTGACAATAACGTTAGAGTTTAGTGGTGATATTTTAAAAATCATCTAACGTTAGCATTTAATGTTAGTATTCTCAAAATTAAGTCACGCTGTTAAATTTTTTTTAAAACTCTAACGTTGCTGCTATATCTAGAAGCATATACACATGCCTGATAATTTCCTTTAATACATTATCAAACATTGCCCCTTTGATGTCCGGATAATGGCAGTCACAAACAAGCTAAGTGACCTAAGAAAAGATGATATATACAACGTCCAAAATTTTTCTTCCTTTTTTAGAAAACAAGCATTGCTATTTCTTCGTGCCAAATTAATTTGTTTAATTTAATTTCACAAAAATTAAGAATATTGTTAAAGTATTGTTAAATAACGAAAAGATAATTGTTAGAATTTATTTAAAAATAGAAAATTTTTGAAAGAGGGGTTCCCATTGGGAATTTATCATGGGCTCCGGTCGGGACATGTATAGTGTTCGTTTCGTAAAACTTCCCCACCTAATTCCCAGTGAATTTTCTTACCGTGTCCCGACACAAATCCACGTCCAACTCTTCCAATTGTATTTTTTAAAAATTAGTTGACTTTAAGGTTTAAAAATTTGACCCGAAAATCAACTAATTTTGTAGCGAGCTGTACAAAAGGAGCCATATATATATACACGTACCAGAAATGGAGAGTAAATATATATATATATATATATACCCACTAGAGTTGAATTGAAATTCCTTTGCTTCCACGGACGATGGAGTAGTACTATTTAATTTGAAACAATTTTCAGAGAGAAGGTGAGACTAGCTGCTGTCCTTTAAATCCAGAAGCCTCTTGAGATCACGCCATCAATTATTATTCGAGCTCATAATAATAATAATAATATTGTTATTATTATTATTATTATAAATATTACGGAGTATTATTTTTCTCATGGGTATTATTTTAAAATGGAAAAGAAACAAATTTAGGGAATAATAACGATATATAATTGATAATGCTTATAATTCATTAATAAATTAATTAGACAATGAAAAGCAAGAAGAAGGGAAATGTGCAGAGAAAGGGTTTGGGCTCCCATGCTACTACAGCCACTACCTCACATGGCTAGACTGTCATCCTCTTTCCATATTGCTCATTGGCTCGGTTACTTAAATAAGACTAAAACATAATGACTTCTTTAAAATAGAATTACTCTGTATATGTTTTTATTAACCATTAGTCATTATTCAAGATGATAATGCTAATCGATAACACCACTTTTAAGAAGGCAGAAGTAAAAGAAAGCATAAACCAACAAGCGTTATTATTTTATTATTTAACTGTACACTATTTTCTTAACAAAATAAATTTTAAAGAATTTAGCTAAATCACAGAAATATCTTTTTTTTTTGTATAAAGGGAGTAAATTTAAAACATGATCATAGAGTAAGAGTAACAATCAGGGTGTATTCTTTGAGTCTCAACTTAAATAGTTCTGATTTATATAGTCATGTCAGCTCTTGATTTGTTTGCTTATGCTTATTACTCATTCCATAATATAGTCATGTCAGCTCTTGATTTAAAGAAAATTTTACTACCTCTACCCTTGTTGGGACTGCGCGTGCCCTTACCCTAACTCCGCATTAGTATAATATTGTCCACTCTGGGCCAAGCCCTCACGGATTTGTTTTTGGGCACCTCCCAAAAGGCTTCATACTAATGGGGTTGGGTGAACCTATATATTTTGGTCCATTTTTTCTTCTCCCTCCGGTGTGGGACTTGGAGGAATCCCCAACAACCCTTTAATGGATGCCATACTCTGTATTATGTACAAAATTTTATTAATTTTAAAATAATTTTAATTATAAATTGGTATGAAAATAAGAAGTACAAATTACACTATACAAAAGTAAATCAAAAGTTCTACAAAATAAGAAATAACAAGGATATTTAATTTTATTAAATAATTAATAAAATATACATATAAAATTTCTTATCAAGAGATCGTAATAGTAACAGTAATATCTATTTTAAAAATATAAATTTTATTTTGGATTTTAAACATACAATCATTAATATAAAGTGAATTTTACGGCCGTTACTTAAAGGACTAAATTGAGCATTTTTCTCCCATCACAGTAATTAGTTCAACTTGAAAACTAATCTAGGAAAACATATAGTTATTGAGTACTCCCTATCATTTAAAGAATTAACTCAAAAAAAAAACAAATGAAAGAGTGGTAAATTTCTTAGCCTACTTCATGATTTGGGAATCATTTTATGGGTCATTATATTGGGAATGGCAAGACACGTGTGGCACATGAGGCAAGATTGAAGTTTGAAATGCCCCATACACACACACTCACACCTCAGCTCAGTGTCCCAGACAGGGCCATCTGCCCCTTCCTCGTCGCCCCTCTTTATATTTTAGCTGCAGACAAAAAGGACCATGCTACATTTACACAAAAAAATGTACCCTATTTGTACACCGCAGTTATACACAAACATTTTGATGGTTTACATCGACACAAATGTTGATGCGTTAACAAAAATTTACACGGACACAAAGTGTTAGTGCGTTAACAAAAATTAGTTTTACACCAACATAAAATGTTGATGCAAAACTGCGGGGTACAAATTGGGGTAGAAGTAGCTTTATCCAGACAAAAAGTATGTCGTGGCCCGGTAACCTTTCTTTCTTTCTTCTTTTTGGGCGAGTACGAACGATTTGAGTGGGAAAAATTTAATTCTAATACTACTAAAAGAAATTCTCTAAAGAGAGTAAAACTTAACTAAAATACAAAAAATACGAGTAATCTTGTTCAATCTTTAAATATGAGTATAATGGTAGTCTGATACACAAACATCGTTTAACATATGAAAAAAAATAAAAAGATATAATTAGAAAAATGGAGTATAAATTATTTTAATAAAAGTACAACAACATTTTAAACTAAATTATTTTAGTTTGTTCCCATTCTTCCTAATTTTTTCAAACTTTTAAAATTTATTTCAATATCCAATTCTAATATTCTAATGAAAAGAAGAATCCCTACAAGAAATACTTAATCCGTCTCCAAAGAAGTTTATTATTTTTAATGATATACAAAATCCTACTTTTTTAAAACTGAGTTTATTACAAATTGGCATAAAAATAAAATAATACAAATTACATCTTTTAAAATCATATCTGATACAATTTGATAATAACTTGTCTTATTGAATATTGAGAGATATGGCCATATATATAGGGAATACAAGAGTAATCAAAGTACAAGTAGTAAAGGAAAGAATAATCCTAGTAGGAAAGGAAAGAAGTATCCTAATTTAATTATACTTCCTAATATCCCCCTGCAAGATGATCAACGGAGACGAGGGGCAGCTTGGAACATAAGTACTCAAAAGGAACTAGCGGAAGCGGTTTGGTAAGAATGTCTGCTAGCTGCTCTGAGGAGGAAACATGATGTGGAGTCATAGTGCCTGCCATAACCTCATCTCGTACAAAGTGACAGTCTGTGCCCACATGCTTCATGCGATCATGAAGAACCGGATTTTTGGTGACACAGATAGTCGACTCATTGTCACAGTATAACTTCGGTTTGGACGGAGGAATACCCAGTGCATCAGTGATATATCGAAGCCACATAGCTTCTGCAACCCCTGCAGCCATAGCTCGATATTCAGCTTCAGTGGATGATCTAGAAACACGAGTCTGCTTTTTCGTGCACCAAGAGATGATATTAGGACCGAGTAGGAGTATGTAGCCCGTGGTAGACTTGCGATCATCTTTATCATTGGCCCAGTCAGAGTCAGAGTAGACAGATAGGTCGAATCCCCCCTTGCGAAAAAGAAGACCATGATTCAAAGTGCCTTTGAGATAGCGCAGAACACGTTGCAAGGCATGATAGTCCTGCTCAGTGGGGTTGTGCATAGTCTGAGACACTCGATTAACAGCATACTGAATGTCTGGACGAGTGACAGCCAAGTAATGTAAACCGCCAACAATGCTCCGAAAATGAGAAATATCCTTGAAAGGCAACAAAGGCTTAGTGATAGGTCTCGTAGCCATAGGAGTAATAGCCGGATGACAGTCGGACATCCCAGCTCGGCGTAGAAGATCACGGGCATATTTGGATTGATGGAGAAGTATAGAATCTTGCGTGCGCTGAACCTCAATGCCAAGGAA